CCGCAAAGACCAGTAGAATTGCACCCTGTATCCTCTCCCACACACAGTGACTGCTGGAGATGGGTACCAGCAACACAGAAAAGAAAAGCGGGTAAAGACAGTGGACGGTTGACTGAATGGACTCCTTTGTTGCTTGCGGTATAAGAATTTTTCCATCCGTCCAGCCGTTATCCTCTGCTTGTTCTGGAGTTGGGTTGTGTGGGCTTCAACTTGAAAAGGGAGGCCCAGACGTCTCCTTCCACAACCACGTCCTCCAGCTCTTCTGGGAGGATTCCAAGGCATTTCTGGGCAGCCCCTGTCTGTCCAACATGTCCTGGGTTTTCCCCAGTGTCTCCTCTCACTCAGACGTCCCCAGAATATCTCCTTAGTGAGGCATCCAGGAATCGTTGTAACCAAATGCCCAAACCACCATAACTGTTGTCTCTCAATGTGGAAGAGACCTTAATCGTTTCTAATAGATTTTTAATAGTTCCCTTTAGTTTTTAAGATCTGACTTACAGTTTTCAAACAGTAGTAGTTTTGGTTTGAGGCTTGATTACTGCGCTGTGCTTCGTTTTGGAATCAGTCAGAACTCGATTTCTTGTTTGCATCAGCCTGATTTTTAACTGTTACAGGTAAAAGAGATCATTTCTGTGGTTTTGGCTTCTCTTCGCTGACTCCAAGTTCACGTCTGAATAAATTTAAAGTATTTTATCTCTTCTTAAAGCTCCCTTATCTATGATCTGCTGAAGCCATATGTCCCACAGCTCTCTGAGGTCAACAGATCAGATACTTTTATTGGTTTCATTCTCACAATACAAGCTCAGAGGTGACAGAGCCTTCTCTGTTGCAGGTCCAAAACTGTAGAATGAATTGCCCCTACATGTCAGGCAGACTCCCTCTGTTTTTTCCCTGAGTTTTTCGCTGTGTTTTTATTATTTTATTTTTCTAGTCATCATAATTGTTTCTTAATTTTTAGCTCTGTTGATTTAGATATTTTTAATCTGTGTTATTTACTTGTTTGTTTTATTGTACGGCACTTTAGTTGTCTTTTGAAGTGCTTTAAGACTTCAGTATGGTCGCTTGGCAGCTGACCAGACGACACGCGGTTTGCTTCCACAGCCCCTGAGACACACCATACCAAGCTCCTGGGAAACCCCCTCCTGCTGCGGTATACATCACTGCGTGGGGTTTCTTCCCACTGGAGACTACAATACGGAAAAATAATCCGAGACCAATCACCCAACATTACTTGTGCACAAATCTGTCTCGGTTAATGCTCCACAGTTTTTATCAGACAGATTCCTCCATGCACAACGTCTGTTTTATCTCCATCCATGATTTTTTGACAGTTTGACTATCTTTATAAATGTCTCCTTCCTGGTAGCCTACAACAGTCGGCTTCTGGAAGTGAGTAGGTTTTTTTAAGTGGTTGAATCAAAATGCAGCGTTCAAGCACTTTCAGCATAAACAAACACTCCCATGAACTTCTGACCAATTACATAATAACTTCTTATGTGGAGGAGGGGCAAAAGGTTTGGCTCGCGGATTACGACAAGAAGGTGCCAAAATGTCGACAATGCAAACAGAATTACATAATTTTCATTATGAAACTGCAACAATCCGATCTGATTTCAGCAGTTCGGATGCAGCATACTGTGAGCATAATATGATGGGATGGTGCTCTTTAAGGCTGGTTTATACTTCTTGTCGCACGTTCTTTACCACCCGCTGAGTGAAAAAAAGTTGTGCAACTTCAGTCTGCACTCCCGCTGCGATCCCCCGGTGACAGCTGTCCTATACATTGCCCCCAGTCAGCACTCCGAGACGCGGAGGATGCGGCATGGTGTGTGTGATTGGTTCAAAGTTTATGGCATTTTTGTGCTGTGTGACACCACTACTCGCTTCCAGAGGCCGGTTTTTGTTTCTAAACATGGATAGTTTTGAAGAGAAACTCAGCGAGGCGGTCCGCAGGTACAACCATCTGTGTGGGCAAGTTCCTCGAAACGAGCAGCGGATGTTTGAAAATAAGAGAAGTGTTTTTCGTCATCCATCTCCCTCACAAGCTTAACTCGCAATTAGCAAGTTTTTTTTAGCAACTAGCAGTCATTTACATGCTAAGCTAGCGCGTGACGTCTGCGGTGGGAGGGCAGAGGGAGGGATTACTATAATGTATCCCCCACGTCTTTTCCCAGTATAAACACTGAATGCTGTCGATGACACACACGCAATTACGTCATTGCTGGGCCGCAGCTGCACGTCTTGCATGAAGTATAAACAAACCTTTAGTCTGCGTTTCTGTCTGTATCTAATTAACTTGGCAGTCAGGGAGCGAGAGACACGAGTTGCTACAACATCAACATATTTTTTCATCTCGGCTCTATTTCTTTATTTTATACATAAATCAAAATGCAGATGATTTTATTGTTCTAGATTATTACAAAGTTACGTTATGATTTTGAGCAGTAGCTGCTCCGGCACAGTTCAAAGGTTCTTCACAAAACTTCCAGTTAGCTCAAATGGAGATAACCTGCAGTAACGTGAGGTTCTGTTCCTGTTTTCAGACTTTGCAGAGAGAAATTGAAGGCCACCAGCCTCGTGTCGATGAAGTAGTTGAGCGAGGCCGGAGAACGGCAGCGGCCTCAGGTGCCGAGGACAGACCGGAGGAAAGGCGAATCACTGAGCAGCTACAGGAGCTGGAGGAGGCCTGGACCCGGCTGCAGGATGAGATTTCCAAGCGCAGAGAGAGGCTGAACGGCTCTAACTTGGCCCAGCAGTATTACAATGACGCAGACGAAGCCGAGGCCTGGATATGGGAACAGGAGCTCTACATGATCGCAGATGAAAAGGCCAAGGTGAGGAGCAGAAGATGTGCTGTGTGTGATTTACTCAGGAAAGCTTCCACCAGTGTTTAGCAATCACGTTGTGCTGGTGTGAATGATGAAAACATTATGAACAAAACAACTGAACTTCCATTCTGTAGTTAAAACTTTCAAATATACAGTTTTTTATTCGTTTTTAGGTTAATCAGTCTGTAGAAATGATTATTTTACTTCTTCCTCCTGGTTTCCATTTGTTCAGGATGAACAAAGTGCAATGCTGATGCTGAAGCGCCACATGATCCTAAAGCAGGGGGTTGATGATTATGCTGACTCTATTCAGAAGCTGGCTGACCGTGCCCAAAAGATGTTTGCAGAGGACCATCCTGACGGGTTTGCTCTTTAAAAATTTATGTGTACTCATGAACAAAAAAAAAAAAAAAAAAAGAAATTTAAAGCCTTTTTGCTGACTCCAATTTTCTCATGTTGTCCTAGTCATTTGTGGTTTGAGGTGATAAGGATGGCAAGCATTGAAAACAAGACATTGGGAAACTTTTTTCTCTGTGTGTGTGTGTGTATCTTTGCAGTGAGGAGGTCATCCGGCGTCAGGGCCAGGTAGATAAGCAGTACGCAGGTCTGAGGGAGCTGGCAGAGGACCGCAGGAATAAACTGAACCACACCTACCATCACTTCCTGCTGAGCCGAGAAGTGGAGGAGCTGGAACACTGGATCGCAGAGAAAGACGTGGTGGCCTCCTCTCAGGAGATGGGTCAAGACCTGGACCATGTCACGGTATTAGACACTGAATAAAAAAGTCTGCAAAAAACATAATAAATTTTAAATCCCACGTTTTAAAAAGAAAAGTTATTTTAGACCAAACATTAACAGGTTCTTATTTTGGTTGCTTTGTGCTTTGGACTGATTTGAAACGTCTACACATGTCTTTAAGGTATTTTAACAATACTAACTTCTAAATTCAGAAGCTGGAAGTCAAACTGGGTCAGGAATTAGTTCTGAGGCTGATGGTTCTGTTGCTTTAATTTCTTAAACTTCACAGTAAGGCTGAACTCACAGCTCTCCAGGCTTTCAGGCAGTTTTAGATAAGAACAGCATGTTCACTGATATGGAAGGCTATATTTAACCCAGTGAGACCTGACATGTCTCTAAACCTGAGCAAATGTCCATTGTGTTTTTTATCATAATGTATTTATATTTACTGTCTTTTAAATGATTTTATATTGGACACTTTTAATGTTTTACAGTTTTTTTGACATTGTCTGTCTTTGTCACTCAGCTTCTGAGGGATAAATTCAGAGACTTTGCACGGGAGACGGGAATGGTGGGTCAAGAGCGAGTGGACTTTGTCAACCAGACGATAGACGAGCTAATCGAAGGGGGCCACAGTGAGGCAGCCACCTTGGCAGAATGGAAAGATGGTGTAAACGAGAGCTGGGCCGATCTGCTGGAGCTCATTGACACTCGCGCTCAGCTCCTCACATCGTCTTATGACCTGCTCAAGTAAGAAACGCAGCAGAGTCTAATGCTAAATTACCAGTTTTCTCAAGTAAGACATGAAGAAATTGATGTCTGGTCTGTGGGCTGTAACATGACTAATTACATAAAAACTGAAAACGTCTGTAAGTGTAAATGAAACATAAACACAAAAACTACATCTGAACTGGTGAGCTGAATGACAAATGTGAGGCTAATGATGAATGTGAGGCTGCTGAGCGTCCAGTCTTTTTCTTTTTAACAGGTACTTTGATGATGGGAAGGAGTTGGTGGCTCAGATCCATGAGAAGCAGAAAGAGCTGCCTGAAGACGTGGGGGAGGATTTCAGTAAAGCAGAGTCCTTCCACAGAATGCACGCCGCCTTCGAGAGAAACATCACTGCCTTGGGCAAACAGGTACAACACACAGGATGATCCGTTTTCCTCAGAGGGAAAGCAGCAGGTGGCAGCTAAGAGGCCAGCTTTGATCATTTAGATGTGGCGGGAGGGCAGAAAGTGCTGCAATATTTGGGTAACCATGATGAGTTTAAAATGAATGGGAAAGAGATTTGGATCCAAAACACTTACGGTAGCTAGTTTTTACAGAAGTTACAGTGGAATGACAACAAATGTATACGCAAAACTGAAATAATTAAAGACCTAGCATTACTTAAAGACATAGAATCGATATAGGATGATGTTCGACTAAAAGTCCAGGATGAAAGGCTGTGGGAAATAGAGCTGCCACAAACGATTATTTTTATAATCGATTAATGACCGATTATTTTTTCGATTAGTCGACTAATCAGATCATACGTTAATTGAATATAAAACATACAGCTTATCGCGCCAGAATGCAGCTGCTATTATATAACCATCGTTAGATTTTAGCTATATGCTAACTAAAAATAATTGCTGTGGAAGGTAAGTTCTGCTCTGCAGATATTACACAGGTTTCTCTTTCATTTTCTTAAAATGATCTCACACTTTTGAGCTCCGTTGTCAGGTAGTCATGATATCAGAGCCTGTCTGTATAACGTCTTGTGACGTCCACGGCCTACCCCAGTTACCACTACTGTGCATGTGTGTCAAGGACAGAAAGGCAGATGTGGCAGTGGAANGTGGAAGGTGTCAAAGCAGTTTGGAGAGAAAAACAAAGTAAAGAACAAAAAAGAAAGAAAACGATTAATCGATTATTAAATTAGTTGATTATTTTAATAATCGATTAGTCGTCGATTAATCGATGAATCGTTGCAGCCCTAGTGGGAAAAATGAATTTCTGTAAGTAACACCAGGTCATTCTATGTTGAAAAATGACAGAATGTTGCCTTTTTGGCTAAAAAAAACACCTTGTAATTAACATCACACATGATCTCAGACTGTGTTAATAATAACAGCTATTATCACAACAGATTTCAGCTCAATATCTATAAAACTGATTGACTTATTGACATTAGTGTTTACCCTAGGGAATGGTCTGGGGGGATGCCAAAAAAAAAAAAACGTACTCTGCGTGTGTCGGCCTTGGTGATGCAGAATATGAACCACTTTTCTATCTGGTTTTTGTTCTTAGTTTGGCATTTCATAAGAGAGGTGGATGTGAAGGAAGGACTTCAGAAATAGCTCTCAACACGATCTGGCATTATTTAAATTAAAATATTGTATTCTTGGGGGGGCGGAGACAATCCCGTTGGCCCCCTACCCCCAACCCCACCCCCCTTGTATAAAGGTAGGGGAACAATGTGATTAGTTTAGGTACCACCTTCAACTGTACCAACTTTAGAAGTTGAGTTGCAAAAGTACATCATTATTTTCTTTAAGTTTCATTAAAATCTGTCCAGTGGTTTATGATATTTTAATAACGTTAAATAGTTATTGGCATTTTTTTAAACTAACTTCTTGTGCACTGCATCAGTTCTCAGAATACATGTTGGGGATTAGTCTCAGCTACTACCACACATAACTTTAGATAAGTATTTGTAAAATTGTCTGATTAGTAGATATTTTGTTTATTAAAGTCAGTTAGCTCTAGCAGCCATGTTGAACTGGGTTGAGGATGTACATCTTAGGATGATCTTTTTAGAAGTTTCATTAAAATCCATGCAGCTGTTCATGAGACATTTTGCTAACACTACAGACAATCTGAAAGGCTACGTTCACACTGCAGGCAATTCCGACCCAAATCCGATTTTTTTGACCCATCTGACTCATATC